GTAGCCAAAAGGTGTGGAACCAGCTCAACAGAAAAGCTTTCCGTGCCTACATATATCACGTGCCTCCTGCAAGTAAACAAACACGTAAGTAAACAAAGAAATAAATGATTATTCCAAGGAGGAAAGAAAAAAACAGAACAAAAATCACCACCCCTTCCCACTAGCCTTGGCTTCCCGGGCTTCCAGAGGTAGATGCTGTGAACAGCAGCACAAAGTTTTCTAAACCCGCCAGGTGTGACCTGCCTTTGTCTGCAAGCATCCTTTCCCAGCTGTGCACCACGGAACCCTTACGCTGGATTTCATAGGAGAACGTGACATGCACGATTTTCAACAAACTCCTGCTCTTTCTGAGGCGAGTCAAGGAAGAAAGCAAATTGCACACCAAATCCCCTTTTCTTTTCTTCTGGTCCCCTTAACACATCCCGTTATCTCCTCGGCCTACATATCATTTAACAAACTGCCCTGCCATTCTCGCAGGGCGTGGCGTGGTGACTGATTTAAAATCCCCGCATTGCTAAAACTGCATTGTTCTTCATCAAGTTGAGTCATTTTTATGTGAAGTGTCAAGCTCCCTAACAAATAACTCCTGCCAGACAAATCAAGTTCCTCGTCTTAGCGCCGCGGCTAAATAGTTTATAGCTTTAATCTGCTCACCGAGGTGTGCAGTCTATGACAGTAATTATAAATGCAAGGAGAAATTATAGCTGAATGCTTTAACTGCATTAGGAGCCGTTTGATGAACAATCATGAGCGCCTGCTCATTTCCAACAATAGAGGGCAAGTTAGTGTCAACGCATTAGAGAGATTTCAGTTCTGCGTGGCTTTTTTTCCATTTACCACGGAATGTCACTTGTCTCCTAGAAAGTAGGGAAAAAAAAAAAAAAAGCACCGTGGAAAGCTTTAAACTTGATAGTTAAAAAGAAAAGACAAAGGGAGAAATGCAGAGAAAAACTGTTTATCAGGATGACTTCTTTTTTTCTCTTTTTCTGTTTTGTTTGGTGGCAGGTTGGGTTTCAAATTAGCTCGTTGGAGGTAACTGCTTGTTTTACGTACTAGGGGCCTTAAAAACTCCCTCCCCAAGCCATTTTCCAGAAGCCTTTATAGAGACACTCTTCTCTAAATGAAGGGCAAGTTCAAAACCAGCCCAGAGACGCTCTGGTAAGTTGCCTGTCTCTGCAGGGGCTGAGTTTCCGTCCGCAACTGCCTAAGCGAATGATACAATTTGGTGCTTGACTTTCCGCTCCTCTCTTACCCAGAAAGACTTTTTTAATTTCGCTGAAGAATTACACAAACGTATTTTAAAGACATAAATCCATATAAAAAATATGAGCTAATTAAAACATTGCACTCCCTGTCACTCATGGATTTTCAATTTAGCGAAAGGAAAAAAAAAAAAAAAAGAATTGCATCTGGTTAAATGAAAAGATGATACTAATGGCAGATCGGAGTAAATGAAAAATCATGTTACTCTATATTAAAGCACCAAACTATAACTACGTCATGACTGAGCACTCAGAAGTCCAAATGAGGGGAAAAGTGCAAGCGAGAAGGAGCTGCATGCAGCCGGGGGCGGGGGGTGGGGGGAGGACTGATGGCAGATGGCTGGGATCAAACGCAAACGGTCCAGAAACCGTGGACTTGTTTCCTGCTGCTTTAGAAATGCTATAGTCTCATTCTTGACCCTATCCTCCAAGCCTCATTTTGCTCCTCAACTATGAACTCCCATGAGTCAGGATGAGGATTTCAAAGAATTCTTACGTATATATTTTCCCTAGAATTTGGGTCATTTCTTGGTTAGACATTGAATGGTAAATGCATTCCATACCTGACTGAGCAAGGAAATGAAAATAAAGAACAAGAATGCTTTGCTTCACCTTGCAGGTCAGTCCCAGGCTCCTGAGTTGCCAACATTTGATTTACAGCTGGGGCTTCCGAGATGCCCAGGGGAGCCCGTGCTCCGTCTCTCAACCCTCATGCCGTTCTTTAGTCTTTTCCCTGACCCGAGGGGTGTACCTAGAGACCATCAGTCAAGGTAGAGGAGAAGCCAAGAGGCAGGAGAAGAAGTGTTCTCCCGATGAGCGTTGAGCAGTCCTGGGTTCGAGTCCAGCTCAACGCTTCCTGTGTGTTCTTGGCCAGGTAATGAAGCCCTTGGAGGATGATATGAATAACCATGCCTGGCTCATTGGTAGCAGCCAATAAGTGGTACTTTTGCTCTCATTGTGATCATTCTAACGAAATAACAGGTTTATATTTTCATGGGGGCACCTACCTAGATACTAATTCGTTCCACCTGGGGAGAATCTGCAAGTTTCATATGCTTCAGATGAAGCTTAAGAACATAGTAGGGGGCTCATGGAGATGGTTTAGAACTAAATTCTCTTGAACCTACTATGTGCTAGGATTTATAGGAGAGAATTGCACACATTTATTTAATTCTCATAACCTTCCTATGAGAGGGACATTACTGTCTGCATTTCATAGACACAAAAGAGCATATCTTAGCGGGGGGGTCCCCGAGTGGCACAAAGATTAAGCACTCAACTACCAGCTGAAAGGTTGGCAGTTCAAATTCATCCAGATTTGCCTCAGAAGACAAGCCTGGAGACCTGCTTCTGAAAAATCGCAGCTTTGAAAACCCTTTGGGGCAGTTCCATTCTGCACACATGGGGCCGCCATGAGTCGGAGTGGACTTGAAGCCAACCACCAACAACATCTTAGAGAGAGTGGAGCAATGGGTTTGAAGCCTGGCCAAGTGCTTACAGAGCCAGGGTTCTTCCCCCAACACAACATTGCCTCTGTGACCTCTAGTCCCCTCCTCAGCTTCCCCCAGGACTGGGCTCCATCAGCACTGACCCTAGAATTGCTTGGCTATGTGTCACTCGCCTCCAAGGCAGACTCTTGTCCTGGTCACTGGTTCATTCCCTGGAATTGGCACAATGACTGGTATGGAGTGACAGCTTGCTAGATATGTGATGAATGAATGAGGCTCAGAGACTGTGGGGCCTTGGGAAAGTCCCACAGAATCTCCTCGTCTCCATTTTCTCCTCTAACATGGTTGAATTAAGCCTTACCTCATAGGACTATTTGTGAGAACAAAGCGAAATAACACCTGTGAAGCACTGGCCTGCTGCATTTTGATATTATAGCGGGCACGGCTGCTGGTTCACGTTATATTTCCATCGCTAACAGAGAGTCTGGGATGTAGTAGAAGCACAACTGGTATTTGTTGAGGATGAAACGAACACAGGGAGGAAGGGAAGAAGAGAAGAAGGAAGGAAGGAAGGATGGACGGATGAGGGGCGAAGGAAAGAGTGATGGAAGAGAGAAAAGGACGGAGGGAGAAAAAGGAGAGAGAGAGGAATGAAGGAAGGAAGGGAAGCAAGGAAGGAAGGAAGACTTATTTAATGATGAAGGAATGGCTGTTGCCCCTTCTGGATATTAATTTGTCCAGCCCATTTTGCTCTTCCCAGTCTGCCATATAACCCGTGCTCTTAGGTTACCAGACTTAGTCAATAAAATACAGTATGCCCAGCTAAATGTGAATTTCAGATGAACTACAAACACTTTTTTTTTAGTATAAGTATGGCCCATGCAACATTTGGGACAGATTTACACCAAAACCTTATTTGTTGTTCATCTGAAATTCAAATTTAACTGGATGTCCTACATTTTATCTGGCAGCCCTACATGCTGTTCACCTCAACGTTCATTTTTACAAAGCAATCCACAACCAAGGTGTCAGCCCTTTGGACTAGAATTCATTCCCACCACCAATTTCAAGGCTAGGTGTGCTGTTAAACATACACTGTTAAATGCAGACTACATTACATGATGAGGATGATAATCTCAAGTCCTTTTGCATCTCATACTCATTAATTTGCCCTCTGTTTCATTTCTATTATTCAAGAGCTGTGGCTTTTAAAGATATATACAAATACATATTGAAATTGTTTTAGATTACTCGTGTTCTAAAATAGGGATACACATTTAATATTTTCTAGTTAATTTTTTAATGAAAAGTTGCATTTATTAGCTGGCAGAGCACGTTGCAGGATTTAAGACATATCTGAGAAGGGAAAGAAAGTTCCAGTTAAAATCGGTGTCTTACAGGAAACTTCAGTATGATGAAGCTCCCAGGTGTTCCATAAAATCTTGACCATGCTTTCTAAAATATACCAGACCATTTTGTACAATTGTGCTGTCGCGCATACAACTAAAATCAGAGTTCTAGGTAACAGTGATCCCATTTTGTGATCATTTAAAAACACAAATGCATAATTGTAAGCAGTAGGCAAGGTATTGCATCAACGTGACTCTCAAAGACAAGCACAAGAGTGGAAGCATTCTTTTCTAGGTGACCCAAGCATCAGGAAGACCTAAACATGGAAACCACGCAGGCCAGCTGGAAAGAACCCAAACACACCAGCACCCTCGCCATCTTTGCTATCCACACAACACAAGCACGCTCCCATTTTCTTTGAGTGAGTCTCAGATACCTCCAACCTGTTTTTTGCAATCACCTCTCATAATCCCAGCACGATGTGTTTATTTCTATAAAGCTGGAGCTCTGGTCTCACTTAAAGGCGAACACGGTAATACCGTGCTTTGAAAGTCCGAATCTGAAATATTTATTCTCTACACATGCAGAGAGGTGCCAAAATAGCTATCTCATCTATGTATTGAACAGATTTGTCAGTACCTTTTGCATCTCTTTTTTTTTTTTTTTCAAATTATCGGGTTGCCTTTGCTTCTCGAGAACAGGTATGGTCAGTTGCAGACTCGGACTGAGGCTAGCTGCAGCTTTTTCTCCCTTCTTCTCATTTACATATCACAATGTTTTGGCAGTGATATTGATTTAAAAAAAAATGATTACAAACCTAACAGGTGGAAAATTGTCTTTATTACAGCACAAATCAACATTGCCTACGTGTTCTCTTCAGCGTGATTTGGAACCACCAGTCTAGAATCTGAAACATCTCTTTTGGTATTTTGTCTATGTCCACCTTTTTTTTTTTTTTTTAAGGATCAGAAAAGCATAATAGCAAGTTACATAAAATGTAAAATGTTATATAGCAAATAAATAGGACATCACGGGGCCCCAAGCTCACATATATAGATTCAATAGATTCATTCCGGCTTTTCTTTGAATAGGATGAGCCGAACACATCATGCTTGGAAAGCAAGAAATGAAACTGGCAGTAACACATTTTAATTATCATGATAAAAACATGCAAACAAAAGAAGGATCGTCTTCACTGGGGCCCAGATAGCTGCTGGAGCTACAGGATGGTTCCCCTCCCCATAATCAAAAGCTCTCGGATCTTCTCACTCAGGGAAAAGTCCCAGATGGGATATTTTAACTTTTTATTTCATTTCGACCATTGTCACGCATGATAACTCTCCCTACCTGATGGGAAGTCAGCCCAAAGTCATGCCACACAAATACCACTCTGCACCTGGAACACGGCTCTTGCTTACCAACCTCTGCGACTTGCTCTGAAAATCTCCTATTTAAAAACAAACGCTCTGACAATAGGGAGTGGCGAGGGCTTGCACGTTAAGCTATTATTAGCGGCTCATATTGTGAATTAATCAAAAGAGCTCGTCTGTAACCTAGCATGACATAACCTGGGGTAAATGCAGAAGGTTTAGTTCAGGATGGATCCTCGCCTTGGGGTGTGGTCTGAGGTGGAGGGCAAACCAGAATGTGTGTGAGGATCCCTGGCGTGGGGGGGTATCATGCTGGAGGGGAGAGAAAATACAAAAGGAGATAAAACAGATTTGGTAAGACCCAGCCTTACTTAACGCTGGACATTGGAAATGGCTTGTATGACCAGCCTGCCTAGATATTTAACCTTGGTCCCTGTCCTCTTTCCTGGAGGTGACATAGATGATCCGGGCACTGGTGGCAGAATTTCTATGACATATAATGCAAATTATCTTGAAGCTGAGGGACCCCCATGTGCACTGGCGATGGGTGTGCAGAAAGACATTTGTTTCTTTATGTGGAATACAACCACAAGCGCGTGCACTGCATCTGTCTTTGTTCAAGGTGGACTCTGATATTAGTCTAGACTAAAGAAAACCAAAAGAAGGGGGAAGAAAATGAGTTTCTTCTCTTTTCATCTAAATGTTCTGCAGAGAAGAATATTTTTCGGTAATCCCCTTACAGGAAGCTTAATGTAGGATATCCACAAAGGGAAAAGGAGTGGAAAGGAGCAATGGCTGAAAGGAAGCTGCAAAAAGCATTCATTACAAGTAACCATAAGAAAGACAACGTTAAGCTATCCATGAGCTGGTTAACAAATCTCTGTATATGACTGCCCCTAATCATCACCAATCTATATTCTGGCGCTCACCTTGTTATCACTTCTTAAGTCATTAATGTGGCTGTGGAAAGGTGGGCTGGTGAAATGGGATGGTGAGAGAAGTTAGTACCTCGTCATTAAAATGAGGGGAAGCCTTGGTTGAGTGGACCTTGGAGGTTGGGCCTGGGGCAACTAAGGGAATATGTATCATGAAGGCCTAGAAGAAGCAGTAATCTATGAGCTTTGCCTCTCTACACCCATATTGCTCTATTCCCCAACTCTAAACTGGAGAAATTGAGGGGATGGCTAAGGACTTTTTTCTCATGTTCTGGTCTTTCGTAAAAATAAGTCCTATTCCAGCAAGCTACTGTCCTGCTTTGCATTGGGAGACGTGAGCTGCCTCTAAGCAGACACATCTCCTTTGGAGAAGCTCCTCACAAGGCCACTGTCCCAATCACCTGGGAGCAAACCCATACCTGCAGAGCTATTCTTCATCCACGTCTGTTACAAACTGTGAATGGTGTTCGGGTGACTTGCTGTGCGTTTTGCTTAGGTGGAGTTTGACTGCATGTTTGCTCACAAATGTCCGACAGCACAACTTACACTTGAATTTAGAGTCTGTGTCCTCTTCGCCAGCTATTGTTTCCGGAGACCTTTGAGCCGACGATACCCGGGAGATCTCTTGCTCTACCTTGCTTTGCTGTTCCACTGCCATGCGGTTCATGTCCTTCATTTGGAAACCTAGGTGAGACTCTAAGTGGCTGATGTAAGTAGAAGGGGTTCTAAACTGGGAGGCACAGTCACCGCAATAAAAGATGGGGTGTCCTTTGTCCATGTTTTTCAGAAATTTGGTCCCACCTGTTTTCCTAAGTTGGTACTTGACGTTGGCCAGCCAGTGGCTAATGGTGGTCATCGAGAGTCCCGTAAACTTTGAGATTTGCATACGTTCTTGTGGGCCCAGGTCAGACAACAGGTACTTGCCCTCTGATGTCTGGAAGAGGCTCGAGGCGAACTGAGCTTGCAAAATCAGAAGATGCTGAGGATTCCAGTTGGACTGCCGGCCTTTTCTTTTATGCAAAGTTGAGACTTCACTGGAGACATCCTCAAAGCGCCTGACATCCATTTCCAGCTTCATGGGAGGGACCCTGGAAGATGTGGCAGGCTTTGGGGTGGTTGCCTTTGGGAGGACTTTGACCATGTCGGCGATGTCAGACAGAGCATGCTTCTGAGGTGGGGACGTACAGGACTGTGCTTGCGAGGACTCTGCTTTCTTGGTTTTGGACTTGGTGAGGTCAATGGGTTGATCGTTGTTCTCAAACAGGTAGCGCCTGGACACACTGGCTGGCCTTGTGGAAGCCGGACTCAACACCGGCTTGTCCATGACGTTGAGATTCGATTTGTGGAACATGGAAATTGTGCTTGAGCTGGGGCTGGAACAGGAAGGAGAGCGCAAGGGCTCCGTGGCCTTGCCCAGGTGATTGTTCAAGACAGACTGCAGGGCGCTGAGCGGGTTGATGCAGGGCAGGGCCGAAGTGTGGTTGGTGAGTGCACAGCCATTGCTAAGAGATGTGGACTCCAAGGGCTGGGGTCTCTCCTTCTCACCGCCCTCTTTCATCAGCTTGTCCTCCTCCTTTTGGGGACAAGGCTCAGCCTTTTTGGATTCTAATGGGGGTTCACTTTTGATGAAAGACTCCCCTTCACTGTGACTAAAAGACAATGCTTCTTCGTGGGGACTTTCCTTCCCACACTCCTTCAAGACTTCCTCTTTGTCTTCCAACTCCTTCTTCACTTGAGTGTATGGGGCCAGGTTCGTGGGCACAGAAACGAGTGGCATGACTTTCCACTTTGGTGCAATTGGCCTTAACTTGTTGGTGAGATTAGGTCGAATCTGCAGTACTTGGGAGCCCATAGGCAAAGAGGGCTTGGTGCCCTCTGACAGCTGGTAGGCGGCATGGATGCTGGGGTATGCACTCCAGCTAGGAGCTCCGTTTTGAGCCTTGTTGATAGCCGTGGTGACAGTATTTTCCAACGACTTCAAAATGTCCCCTCCGCCCTTTGAGCCATCTTCCAAATCTTCCTCCCTTAGATACTGGTACTTGATCGTAGGGTCTAGAGGTTTTTGCAGGGGATCTTCATATTCCTCGCTTTTCACAACTTTCTCTTCCTTGTTGGCTTCCTCTGGCTTTTCTTTTTTACTCCCTTTCTTTAACTCGGTTGTAGAGGCTGTGTGGTCTGCAGCTGAGTTACTTGATGGCTTGGGAGCCACAGAATCACTGTTTGGAGCCTCACTCAATGACTGCATTTTCTCCACCGCTACAGGGTCTAACACCAGCTGCTTCCCTTTCTTGGAGGCCGAACTGGTGACCTTCAGAAAGTGGCCTGTGACCATCATGTGGGTGGTGAGCTGCTGCAAGGTGTCGTGGGAGCTTCCACACTCCATACACTTTAAGATCTGGGACTTACAGGCTTCAAACTGCCAGGTGTAGCTGGCACCATTTTGGTAGCCATAGCGGTTACTGGAAGACAGCTGCAGATTGGCATTCTTCTGAGAAGAAAAGGAATCTGCAAAGGATCCCGTGGTTGAATCAGGGGAGCATGGCCGATTGACATCAAAAACACGTTTCTTCGCTGGAGTGATCATTTTTGACGAAATGGTTGGTACCGGCTCCTTCAAAGGCACTTTTTGGTAATGTTTTGTTTTTATCATGTGGACGCTCAAATCTTGGAGGGAATCGAAGGAGTCCCCACAAAACATACATTTCAGAACCTTTTGTGCATCCTCCTTGTCCATATCCTGGAAAGCCCTTTTCCGGGGCTTTGAGTAGCTGGTGGGTCTAAGCTTGTCCTTTTTGCGGTTGTCATCTTGATAGTGACCGGTTTCATTCATGTGCACAGTCAACTCAACTAAGGTGTCATAGGCAGCGCTACACTGCCGGCACCGGAATCTACTGGCCCCTGTGAAAACGGTCCCACACATCTTACTGCTCTGCCGGTACAACTGGACCGAGCTGAACAGACTGGGCTTAGAGAAAGATCTAGAAGGCAAGTTCTGCTGCAAGCTTTTGGACAGAGCATCTTGGTGCCAATCAAAATCACTCTTGTTGCTGCCGTTTCGGGTGTCACAATTCCGCCTCTCACTATTGGACAGCTTGAAGCCAAGCCCCAGGCCTGACCAATAGGAGTCAGACAAGATGTTGGCATAGACCGCGGTCATTTTATCCATGCAGTTGTGTGCTTCCTTCGGAAGTTTGGGGTGAGTGTTTGCTTTCTTGTCCGAGACATCTCGGCCGCAGACGCTCCTGATGTCCAATACCTGGTCACTGGCATCGCTTAGCAGGGATTCGTTCTCGGCGTCCTGATTGGACAAATGACTTCCGGGGGAGTTCTGGTAGCTGAAGCAGCCTTTCTGCTCTGGGCCCGTTTCTAGCTCCTCGTCTGTCCCTGGATCATTGCTGCCCTGAAGCTGAGCTACAGAACCACTGTCTTCTTCCTCCTCCTCTTCCTCTTTTATTTCCTCCTCTTCCTTCAGCTGTTCCTCTTGGGCATAGCCTGTAAGAGAAGAAGAGATGAAATAACAATAGCAGGTCACATATTCCATTTCAGTTTCCTCACTTAGCTTCCCATACCAAACTGCATACCGATTTCATCTACACTTTTATGAACTGTGAGCCTTAGAAACAGGAAAAAGTCAAATGATGTCTTCTGTGCTGCCTACTACCTTTCTTTCTTTTTTCTTTAAATTGGCAGGAGTCATAATTCTTTACAAATGCCCAGAACCCCAAGTTATTAATTTTCGTGTTTAAGGAATATCACTCTAATATTCCTGTAACGGGACAGACACTAAACTTGTGTATGACTTTTAGGAAAGTGGAACTGAAATTCAAATCCTATTAAAGTCCTCTCTCCGCGGGGAAGACCATTGGCTAATAAGAAAACGAAGATTTGACCCTTGGCATCTCAATGGTAAGGTTTTCCAAGATACTTGGATATTTTGGCATATAGTCATCTAATAAATCCTTTCTGAGTGCTCAAAAGTAATTTGGATGCATGACCATTATATTTTTGATAGCCAACGTCTTTTTGTTATAACATTTTTATTTGTAGAGAGTTGCACAGCAGGAAGAGAGATTATGGAGGATGTGAATAGAATCTTCCATCGAGAGCTGAAAAATTATGTAAGCTCAGCAAACACAATGATTTAAAAATAATAGCAAATGATGTTAGAATGGGAGATTTGGGGACTATTGTATTACTCTCAAACAGGTTTATGAAGACCTTTCCAGACAAGGCTGAAAATGCCCTCTCGATCTTGCGCCAGTAATTTCAAATGCACTGTGATTTGTGGGTTCCCGTCATGAGATGCCAATTATACGCTTGATTTATAGATGCAAAATGCTATTGGGGATGCATGCTTGCCCTTCTCTGAAAGGATTTAGGACCCGTAATTGCATAGGGAAAATGAAGGCATGAGAGAGCGGGTGCAAAGGGAATTAATGAGCAAATATCCAGCAGTGGTGATGGGGGACGTGACTATTTACACCCATGGGCTCATTTTCTTTACCTGGGCTTTTCAGGGCCACATGGCTAAAATGCAACCAAAGAAAGACAAAACCAAAGGAGATCCAGCCTTATGTTTGCATCTCAAGGCAATATGTTCCTTATCAGTGTCTATCTCCCCTCTCCGTGTCACGCTGCTACTTGGAGGTCACCACAGAGTGGGTGTTAACGACCATTCAGCACCGGAAAAGCTTGGAAAAAGGATGATTGGAGTTCTGTCCTGCGAGGCAGGCGGAGACAGTTGGAAGAGATAAGGGTTTGTTAGGAAGAAGGCAGCTACAGTCAGGACACGCCAAAGACTGATAATAATGGTGATGCTGAAGAACATTTATCGAGCAATTACTATGTCCTGGAGTCCCTGGGTGGTGCAGATGGTCAATGCTCTCGCCCGCTAACTGAAAGGTGCCTCGAAAGAAAGACCAGGTGCTCTACTTCTGAAAAATCAGCCACTGAATACCCTATGGAGAACAGTTCTACTCTGACCTACATGGGATCTCCATGAGTTGGGTGAGTCAGGGTCAACTCAATGACATCCAGTTTACTATGTCTTGGGAACTGTATTCATCACTCTAAGTGCATTCTTTCATTTCACTCTGATATCCAAATGAAGTAGGTGCTATTATTCCTCTCATTTCATAGATGGGGAGACTGAGGCTTCGAAGTTAAGAAATTTGCCCCAAGTCACACACCAGTATTGCAGAGTTGTGATATGAACCCAGGTCTATTTGATGACAGAATCCATGGTCTTAACCACTAGGCTTCAATCTCTTTCTATTACCAACCTAACAAATAAGAAAACTTTTCAGCGATCCAAAGGTAACTGGGGGGAGGTCATTGAAAATGTCGCTAACAGATAACCACCTCGGGGGGGGGGGAGAATTGTGGGAAATGTGGAGACATGCATCCAAGACTTTAAGGGCGTGATTCCATCAAAACAAGATGAAAATGTAAAAATTTAGTCTAGTCCCTAGCTTTGTGGTTGTGTGAGTTATTTTATTGTTGCCTTTTTTTTTTTCCACTCTCCAAGCAACTTGACCAGTAGATGTTTCATTAAACTGGTGCTGCTGGTCTCTAGTTCCATGAATTTATTTGAAGAAACAAAAATTGCTCAATCTAGCCAAATGACCATTACTAGGTGGTCACTACTTGGAAGAAACCCCTAGTTTAAAAATATCAGAATGACTGAAGTGGACACCCCACCTCCCAATCCCCGTCACATTTTCTTTTCCCTGGACAAATTTATATGTTTGAACAAATACACCATTCAGTCCAAGGAGAAAGTCGACATTATAAAACTAATAACTGTGTTGTTACAGAGCCAAGTAAAATGTTCCAGAGCATCAGGCAAAATTTATCAATCAAACAGGGTCACTTTTGAGAATGCGGTGGGTGATATTATATACACACCAGGGCAGCAAGTGTTATCCAGGAATTTCCTAGGCAAACTAAGACATGTAGTTACCCCACCTATAGACAATGCAAACACAGCACAAAGAAGAGTGTGTTCACGCAGGAGTACGCACACACACATACACACACACACACGTGAAGAAATCCACAGGGGGAAAGGAGGGCTTTCTGTGATCACAGTCGGTTAAGGATGTTGTTGGATTTTATTCCTCTTAGTATTTTTAATGCCTAGCACAGTGCCTGGCACTTAGGAGGAAGGTGGGAAGTGCTTTATGTTATTTTATGTGTGCAGCGACAAAATACACGCAAAAGTGCATGGGTGTGCCCACACACACACACACACACACACACACACAATCTGCCCGGCCAAGATAGTCATTTTCACACAGGAGAAAAGAAGTGTTCTTTTTTTATGCTGACATGTGGAAGCCGAGCTTTCCAGACCAGCTCAACCTCACAATCTACTTTGTCCTTCTAAATGGATTCCCCAGAAGAAAAGTCGGAGACAGCCAACGCCTCCCCGACAATACAGATAAAATTTTCTGCTTAATTAGGCATTGACATGTTTACTATAACCTTTACAGAAGAGTAACTCATGCTGAGCGACCCATTTTGTCTGTTTTCCTCTGCGGAGCAGACGAAATCTCACGCACGCAATAAGGTAGCGCGCGGAAAAGCCTCATAAAAAAATGCCAAAGCATCCGTCAAGGGAGTATATTTTAACAATGGCTGACGGTTCCAAGGAGTTTTTAAGAACACGTTTTAATATTACACATTCAAAACTCTTTGCTTGACTTTAGCAACTGGGTTTGCCCCCGGAAGTTGAGGCGAGAGAGAGAAGGCAGCCAGCATATGGGTATATAATCTGTATACATCTGGGTGTACAATGAGTATCTGTCTCTCTCCCTATCGATGATTTGTTTAATAGGATTGCATCATATGTAAATCTTGGTAGAAGGAGGTGAGTGGCAAGTTTACTCTGTGTATACTTATTTAACAAAAGAAAACCATCACAATTATTCCAAGACAAGATGCAGAGTATTTCTCTTTGGAATCTCCTTGTTGATGCTGGGTTGAAGACTAAACTTTGCAGTGGTAAACATCTCTCTCCCCAACCTAATTTCTAGTTTCCTCCTCTTACCACTGCCTGATTCTGGCCCCACGAAAATTCCCTGTTCCCAGGACAGCCAATTCATCAGCAAAGTCTGTCAGTTCTATGTCTGAATGACAGATCTGAGAGACCATTTCTCTTCCACACCACTGCCACCACCTAGACTGAACCACCATTATTGCTCACTAGGGCGACTAAATGGGCTTCCTGCTTCCACTCCCTCTAGTCTGTTCTTCAGAAATCTGCTAGAATATTCTTTGTAAGAGATATCACTGCATGAAATGCCTCTGTTTTATCCCCTTCAGCCCCTGACTCCTTCAAGTGCCTTTCTGTCGCACTTAGAATAGAATTCAAACCCTTATATGGTCTACAAGGAGCCCTAGTGGCACAGTGGTTAAAGGCTCAGCTGCTAACCGAAAGGTTGGCAGTTTGAACCTACCCAGTGGCTCTGTAGGAAAAAGATCTGGAGATCTGCTCCCATAATTATTACAGCCAAGAAAGCCCTATGGGGCAGTTCTACTCTGTCGCATGGGGTCACATTGAGTCGGAATTGACTCAGTCCACACAACACCGCCAACAACAAAGCATGGCCTATAGGGGTCCCTGGGTGGTGCAAACGGTTAAGTGCTAGACTACTAACTGAAAGGCTGGTGGTTTGAGCCCACCCAGAGGCACCTCCGGAGAAAGGCCTGGAGATCTGCTTCCAAAAGGTCACAGCCATGCAAACCTTATGAGGCACAGTTCTACTCTGGCACACGTGGGGTCGCCATGAGTTGGAAATGACTCTATGGTAACCGTTTTTTTTTTTTTTTAAGCATGGTCTATAATAGCCTGGAGCCCTGGTGGTGCAGTGGTTAAGGGCTCGGGTGCTAACCAAAAGATTGGCAGTTCAAATCTACCAGCCACTCCTTGATAACCCTATGGGGGCAGTTCTACTCTGTCTTATAGAGTCACTATGAGTTGGAAATGACTTGACAGCAATGGGTTTGGTTTTTGGTTTCTGCTTTATAATAGCCTACAGGATTTGGCCTCTGCTTCTCTTCTCTGCTTCACCACCCAGCACTCTCCCCCGATCTCTATGCTCAGTCCCAACAGCTTTTTGCTCTTCCTTGAACCTGCCAATTCTTTCCTTGACTGTGGTTCTCTGCAATTGCAGGTTTCTTGGCTTGGAAAGTTCTTCCTCTGGACATTCACATCCTTAAGGGCTCAGCTCAGATGGCATCTTCTCAGAGAGGCCTTTCCTGACCACCTTTGTCTTCTCTGAGTAACTCTTGAACACATCGCCCTACTTACTGATATCTCTTATACCACTTACCATACTCACAAATTGTCCTGCTTGTTTATGTATTGATTGCCACTCTCCCCCACTAAATGTAAACATTATGTATCTATCCCCATGAAGGCAGACATCTTGCTTCTCCCCAAACTCACATCACATCCAGGCACAGAAGGATGTCCACGGATTATTGGA